CTGCGTCTCAAATCCTATTTAGCAAAACAACATTTTAGGCCGTATAAGAGCGTCTAGGCGCGCCCAACATGCTGTCTAGATAGTCAGCTTACTATGTTTTGAGAGGCGGGCAAAGATGCAAAGTTTTGCACGGTTACCAAAAACACCGTACAGGAGCACAACACACCATATGATGATGGGACGGGGCACTGTACCTGAGAACTGTGGCTGGGAGGGACTCTGGCTTCTGAGGCGAGAGGATGAAGCGCTGGGCTCGTTTGACAGATGGAGAGAAGCGGATGAATGCCAGCAGTTATGGCCAGATCTCACTGTAAAGCATGGAGGAAGTGAGAGTTTAAGATGTAGATGAGAATGGGAGGTGTCCTCGCTTTATGTTTCCTTTTAAAGTGATTTACGTTGCATGAAGCTGAACCCCGCTTGATCTCACACTTTATCGTGGTCATAGCAACACAAACGAAACGGGACGTGCGCGGGCATAAAGTTTGCGGTTTCACACTCAAATTTTCCTACGCTTTGTTTTCTAACAATAGGCAACTAAACGCTAAAGTAGTTAAATGCAGCATTAAAGTTAACGCCCGTACAAACATTTGCATGCACCTTTTCCGCCAAAATTCCGTATTTCTGCAATGTTCAAATAAAAGTTTGATAACTTGACATAAGCCACAAATTTTGTCATCCCAAATAATAAATATTGCGATAGCTTCTTCCACATGTTTTCACAGCACGGTAGGCTGGTTTGAACTTCTATCATTTAACCTTACTCTAAATCTTTATGTATGGATGGCTTTTTAATTTATTTTTTTATAAATAGAAATATTTGACAATAAGAAGTCATAAATCATTTTGGTTTTTTTATTTTCTCTTGAACAAATGTTTCCATCTGTCTGTACATGTTGGAAATAGGTAACGTTAATATCATGTGAACGTTCAGATTTATATTTAGCAAGAAAGTAAACTGGCACTGGCATTGTGTATTTTGCACAGTAATTAAGCATTTAGCATTATCATGTATTGTGAAGATAGTGTTATAATTATATGCATCTAGTTAGGCTATATCCCTTAAAGGGATAATACAGCCAAAAATTAAAATTCTGTCATCATTTACTCAACTCCATGTCGTTCCAAACCTGTATGAATGTCTTTCTTCTGCTGAACACGAAGGAATATATGGGATATATGGGGCCCATCAACTGTTTGGTTATTGACATTCTTCAAAACATCTTCTTTTGTGTTCAGCAGAAGAAAGAAACTCATACAGGTTTGGAACGACATGAGGGAGAATAAATGATGACAGAATTTTCATTTTTGGGTGAACTATCTATTTAACAGTTATTTTTGACCCCGGGGAAAGTTAGATACAGGTTAGGGACAGATTCAATATATAGAGCAACATAATAATATAAATATAAGAAATAAAAAATAAAAAAGTGATTTTAACCATCACACAAGCACATACCTGTGAGAATAAACATAGCAAATATGAATAACCTGAAGTGGAGGTCAAAATATAAAAGCAGAGTATCCTGTTTACATCAACAGTCCTTCTCCAAATCATTAAGAAAGTCAAAAGAGACAATTTAAAAAATATAAACCTCAATTTATTGCACAATCGCTGCAGGAGACCATGGGGTTTGGAAGATCTGTCTGTGTGAACAAATGTAACCATGGACACAAATAGACAAGAGAGAAATATAGGCCCATATAATAAACCAACAGAGACACACGCTTGTAGTTGTAGATAAACCCATTTACAACAAGAAAGAAATGTTGATGTAAAACCAAAGTTATAGTAAAATTTGCAATAAATTAGTTTAGGAGGCATAATAAACCAACAGGAAAGAAAGATAAATGGCCAACGTGGCTCAGCGAGTGACCTTCGTGACTGACTTTATCCAGAATGTCAACACTGTTCAACTGAACATCATTTAAATTTATGCTGTAACCGACATATAAAGACAATAGAGTGCTGTGGCCACCAGATGGTGCCAAACAACAACCAAAATAAACAGAAACATTCAAGCAAGAGTAAAAAAAAAAAAAAAAACTTAAAAAAAAACGACAGATCTTTCAGAGACCTTCTGTCATCCTATGTGCATTAGTATTCTCAGCCTTTGTACTTAAATTAAGATTATCATTGATAGTGGTAATCCATCTCAGAATAATATTATAATAATGCGAGATGTAACTGAGTAGTTTTAAATTATCATTAACAGGCTATCCAGCACCTGCATACTAAGAAAAAAAATGTTATTATAGTTTCATACATCATGTCATTATTTTTTACCACAGGACATTTAGAATATACAGACAGGAGAACATCATCCTTGAGAATATCATCCTTGTTCCTCCTCTAAAACATGAGTTATGATGCAATCCATTTGCTTTAGGGCTTCAATGTAACATGCTCTGCACATTCTCACATCACTTAACTATATAAATAAACACATTCTTGATCAGCATTTATGGACACTTTCGGCCCCACAAAGGCAATATGCATCAAGAAGGATGCATGGTCCAAAAGCTTGATGACTGACAAGCCATCATGATCTTTGTCCTTAAAAACATAGAACTCTCATAATTTTTTTTTTTTTCAGTTTCAAATCTTAACCAGAACAGGCAAAGACATGACAGGATGAAAAGAAAACTGGCCCGAAATCAGTTGTTGAGGTCACTCAGTACAAGTGAGCACTGACAGGGCACCCTGAGAAGAGGAAACCCCAGGATGGCATGGTCTGAGCAAAACAAATCTGTCTCTTTTCAGGACTGGTAAAACTGGCAAAACATCTGATTTTTGGAATTCACATGTACAAACATGTTTGTGTATATATGTACACATTTTGATTATGCATAGTTATCCAGTGGGTTTCAGAGGTAATAACATATCAGGACACCCATTTTTCAAACCAAAATATCTGTATTGTAGCCTCTCCCTACTTTTCACAATGTAAAAAAGAGATTTTGCCAACCAAACTATAATAAATAGACCGTGTTAATGACATTATGACATCATAGTAGCACAGACATATTATTATGACATTAACCCTACTAAACAATGTAACCGCATTCTTAGCTCTGCCGCCAGGCCTGTCATGGAGATGAAATACATTAACATTCAATACATTTTCTTCCAACATTGTTGCTTTAAATATTAATATGAATATATAAAAATGTCAGTATGTATGTCACTTGCATTTTATGCATATAGTCTACATACAGGTATTTACGTTACCCATATGGACTTTTAAGTTCTTAATTGGTTTTCACTTTGATCCAAAGCCCTTTTGGTAAAAAAAATTAAATAAAAATCATCAGTGCAGTTAACTACTTGATATGGTTGTATTGCCTCTGGGCTACTCTCTTGATTTCATTCCCTTTCTATAGACAGATATATTTGATGCATTAGCTCTGTTACTTGCACATTAAGCACATATGTCAGTGACTGCATTGCACAAGCATTTGGAAATCGCATGTTGTGTTAAAGGGGATTGGCTTTCTAATATTTTCATGCACCACTTGATTTTAGAGCCTAATGTTTCTCATTTAATAATAGCATTAAAGGGGTTGGGATAAATTGGCCTGTATTTGTGGCTTGTATTTAAAACCATGCTGGTCTGCTAAGCCCCAAAACAGATAATTTGGCATAGAGTGTGTTTAAGTGTTTGTCAGATACATCTGAGCAACATTCTACCTAACATGCACCGATTCTACACTAATAGGTCTGACCTCTGCAATAGGACTATCAGAGTAGTGTGGTTATGTAAAGATATGTGATCCCCATCTGGTAAAATAATAATAATACAATAATAAAAAAAAAACAGTAGTAGTTGCATTCAAATAAAATATCGTCAAAAACTTCCAAACAGTAAAACATCATCATAAATATGATAAATATAATTCCAGTGATACGGATATTGGAGGTAATTGAACTGAAATTTATGGCAGGCCTCACTGATGTTCATTCTGAAAGCTACAATGTGATTGTGTCAACGAAGTTATCACAGTTGTGTCATTTGTTTGTCCGTTCTTTAAAACTAGTGAGGTTGGAAGAGATGGGGGCCATTCACACAGAACACGTTTTTCCACTCCATTCCACTACTTTTCAATCATTTTTCTATGTAAACGCGCAAGACGGACGTGTTTGACCTTTGCGTTCGCGTCAAGCTCTAAAAACGCGGCACTCAAGTTAAAATAAGTTCAACTTTTTAAAGACGAGTCTCGAGAGCCTGTTTTTAACAACGAAAACGCGTTTTGTGTGAACCAGCCCTTAGAAGGGTCATTCTTTGTTTGTTCCGCTCAGTAGTGCATAAGCATGCTAAGGTAACAAATTCTAATGTGCAAAAAATGCAGTCACATAATACAACCCATTTGGTGGATGTCAACATCTCCATAGTGCAATCTGCTTCTTTTTTCTTTTCTTTTTTACTTTAAATCACATTTTAAGAAGATATAGATGGGACTATTTTCAGCTCTGTTAAACTTGAAGTCTTTTTGGCAACTTAGCTTAAATCAGAGGGGCTATTATAAATTATGTCCAATCAATTTCATCCCATTACTAAAGACTTAGATAACCCTTATATAGAATTAATTTGGCAGTGACAAGTGAGCAGTACCAAATATTCCCCTAGTCTTCATTAGGGAATTCATAGTGTATCGGCATGTGTAATATTGCTGCATTCTGGAGTCTAATATTCCTCTTCCACATCCGATTAAGCAGGAACATCAGGTGTGCATTGGTCGAGGATAGCCAGCAGAGAATTAAAGCCTTTGTGCAAACAGCAGGCCATTAAGAAAATAATTTGCCAAGGTTACATGGATAATTGAGGTTAAAGGTCAGAAAGAAATCAAATCTAATTTAGAGCAGTACAAAATACAATCTCCCAAACTACAGACTAGGATATTAAAACCACGAGTGTACAAGGTTGAATCGACTGCTCAGTGGCACAACAGAGAAAATATCTTCTGCAGGTAACGGGAAATGTTTCCCAGGGTGTTATTCGTCGTGCTTCTGCAAAAAGACGGCATTAAATAAATGCCCCTTAGATGCTAACAAACATGATCAAAGTCACAGAGGGCAATCCAAAAATTAAAAAGAGCACTCAGCAAATTTAATCACCTAGCAAAAATATATATAAATAAATAAATAAATAAATAAATAAATAAAGGCTACAACCCAAGGAATGACCCCTTCACCCTTCACTTACAGCTAAGTGGCATGAATGTGAAAATTATTGACCTGAACAGGGAGACGGCATGAAAAAAGACACGAGCATGATAAAACAGCTAAAATAAACTCAAGTATTTCCAGTAAATGTTGCTGTGAGACTGGACTTACAGTACATTTTGTGTGTGTGTAGTGTTAGCATTGATATAACATCTGATATGCTGCATAGTCTGCAATAGAGTAGCAAGTTGAAAGTTGGAGGTGGATACATTTCCACACCAGCGATCTTTGTTTGTGTCACCAGCAAAATTGAGAATAGAGACAAACCGTAATTAGTTTTCACAAAAGCCATGCTATTTTGAGCAACGAGTTTTAGATTGTAATACGTTAAATCTCGCTTTTCGAGAGCCAATCATTTGAGGGCTCAATGTTATCTTTTATTGTTCAGCTAAAACTAAACTTAGAGGCTATTTAATAAATGCTTTAAACGCTGGTGAATATATGACATCAAAAAATGTCAGATCCTGTGTGTGTGTATACCCCTATAGAATGTGTAGGTCTCGAACCAAAACAAAATTTGCCTTTGTTTGAGCTAGTAGGTCTAAACAGTGCCATGCACAGACAATGTTTATGCAAACAGATATGTACATTCTGGCTACTGACAGCACAAACAAGCATGTGTGTCGAAGCTGGCACTGGTGTCTCCTAAAAAACATGTAAAACACTTCTTAAGGACTTTCGTGCACACATTTATATACAAAGCACAGCAGTCTCCCCCTAACCCATACCGTTCTTTTCCCAATAACGTCACATTCCCAGACGACTCCTTACTAAAAGAGATCCTTGCCCTATTACCCACAATTCCAGACTAGCAGGGGCCACTGTCAGTCTGTGGGACAGTGATAGGTGTTGATCCACAATAAGTCATCCAGCACCCCCCAGTGTAGGTACAGTATGGAGACTACCACCAGCACATGCATGATTTGATGGCTGTTGCACCAGTAGTCAAAGAGGCCCGGGCGGAACCGCTCAGGGATTCGCGTGATATTGATGACGCCGCCCAACACTGCTAGTGCATCCATGGTGAGAAAGTGGCGCAGTGAGGTGGGACTCCCTCCGCCCACACCTACCGAGCGCAGGAGGAAAAATGAGAAGCGGTAAAGGAGCTGCCAGGCGAAGGAACGCAGACGCCGCACTCTGCTGCGTGCTGTGATGGCACAGTAGATGGCGTAACTGGATAGCAGGATGTACATCAGCAGAGCCAATGTGCGGGTGAAGGGGTAGCAGAGAAGAGTACTGTACACGATGGGTAGAGCTCCTGTGAACCAAAACATAGTGTTACTAAGATGACAAGCTAAGCTTGTTCCCTAATATTCAACTGTATAGTTCACATCATTCAAGCATAGGTGAATTTTAAGTGTATTTAACACACCTGCTTCCCACTGTACACTGTAAAAAAAATGGCATATTTACTGAAATAAATATGATAGCAATATTTCAGGATGGCATTGGACGGTCATGATCCCTAATATATACAGCAGGGATGGAAATGAACTTTTTTGTCCACCTGCCACTGTGGCAGGTGGATTCCAAAATCTACCAGCCACTCAATGTTTTTACCAGCCACTTACTTGTTTTTTAACCGACAATGTGTAACTGCATGTGAAAATTAATAGTACAAGATCTACAATACTTAAGCCGTTTATTCCATAGGGTAAAGTCTCAAGGTGTGCCTCCTCTAAAAGTGTCCGGGTGAAACAGCATGCTACTTTTATTTACAACACAAAATCACCAGCATTTGGCTGGTGGCTGGTGCTAATTTCCATCCCTGAACAGTCACCCCAAATTATATGTACATATAATAAAATATCATTAAATATCATATATATAATGTACCGTTGTTTCCCAACTAAATGGTCGATAATTATAAAAACTAAGAAAAAGCACTTTAAATTTGCAAGAGACAATTGAAGTGCTGTGACAACAGAGAATGATATATGATATATCAATGAGATAACAGCCTGAGAATGCACAGATAAGGGGGAAACACAGCCTGTTTTTGGTAATCACAGCTAAAAATGGACCAGATGACACATCAGTTCATCAGGTGACCTCATCAGATATGAACAACCTGTACAAAAATATCAAATTTGAGGTGTCAGGAAAAAAATCAGCAGAAGAAAATAGAGAACAGAATTTAAAAGATGTACTGAGAGATAATGTGATGGAGAGCTCGGATTGATCTGACCGCAGTTTGAGATGCTGACCTAGCGTGTTGATCATGCAGATTCCGCACATATCTAGCGTGAGCAGGGTTTTATAGACGGGCTCGCCGCCCTCATGGTTCATGAAGAGGTGGTAGACCACTGAGCCCAGCTGCGGCGACAAGCAGGCCAGGAAGTGCACCACGCCGAGCCACGTCACGGTGATCTGCGACCAGGGGATGTTGAGCGGGAGCAGCACTAGGAAGCAGAGCAGAGGGATTCCTGAGTGAAGAAAAAGAAACAATGAGACGACGAGGCTCAGGAGGGTCATTGAGTACTGAAGACGCGTAAAGTGCTGTTAAAACACGCAGGGCCCATGAAGAGAGCGAGAAAGTTGTTTTTGGACATTATGCTCAGACAGGCCTTGCAGTGTTTCATCACGTCCCTTGAGTTGAATCGCTGCAGCCTAAACAACACATGGATTTATGGAGGCCCAGGGTACGGCCCAGTGCAATGTGGGTCTCATCGGCTTTGCTGTGCTAATTTTAGCAGCAGCTGCCAAAATGCAAACTACACGCTAAAACAAAGATCTTTAGCAGTAAACAACAGTTAGTGGCTTTATAACAGGGACTCAAAGTACAAGAAAAACACAATCTTGAACAATCTTCTGGTTATTTGTGAATCTCTCTTTCTCTCTTAACCCAATGTCAAATGATTTATCCTGGTCAGGTAAAAGCACCAATGCCTTCTAGCACTTCTATTTTGAGTGAGTTATCTCTGTTGGCTTAACTCTCACTTTGACAAAGACACTATTGTTAGAGAACATGCACTTTACCCTTCACTTTATAGAAAAGTACAAGCATTTGAGCGGCACTTATGCTTTGTACATAATGTAAATATATATAGTTGTAATCGAAATTTTTCAACCCCCATTTCAAATCAGGTTTATTGGCAAATTTTACAGACTTTAAGCTTTGTGCAATGAACAAGTCAAACAAAAGTAATTGAAATAGCTCAACACAACAAATGTTTCAAGTGGTTTCCCCAAATTCAACTGAAAATGCAACTTTTAATGACTTCTGCAGTCTCAAAATTATTCAACCCCCTGAATAGAATCCCTCACAACAGCACAAATCTGCAAAACAGGTGTTGTTAAAGGGCTTCATTAGTTGCACCAGGTGTGTTTGAGCTAGAACACATGAAATATCTGAACTGACTAGGTTTGTTGAGTGTCACGTTTGACTGCATGTTAGAAATATGTCAAAAGAATGGTCCAAAAAGTTAAGAGAAGATATAATCACCCTTCAGAAACAAGGAACAGGATACAAAAGGATAGCGAAGGCACTAAATGTTCCTAGAGACACCTTTGAAAACAAAGTTCATAAGTTTAAAGTTAAAGGAACAGTGGTTACTGGTGTCTGGTTAGACATCTCCTTTGCAGCAGGTTTGCAACAGCAAAAGGGTGTTCTACTAAGTACTAAAGATGCTTGCCATGAATGGGGTTGAATAATTTTGAGACTGCAGAAGTCATTAAAAGTTGCATTTTCAGTTTTGGGGAAACCACTTGAAACATTTGTTGTGTTGAGCAATTTAATAAGGCCTACTTTTGTTTGAGTTGTTCATTGCAATCAGCTGAAAGTCTATAAATGTTGCTAATAAACCTGATTTGTAATGGGAGTTGAATAATTTCGATTACAACTGTATAGCCTATATAATGCTTTGGTAAATCATAACTATCATAATTCTTAATTGACTTCAAAATGAGGGACAGACATCTCTCAGATTTCATTAAAGGGGTGGTATAATGCCCTTTTCACATGATGTAAAATAAGTCTTTGATTTCCCCAGAGTGTGTATGTGAAGCTCAAAATACCCCACAGATATTTTTATATAGCATGTTAAAATTTTGACTTTGAGGGTGAGCAAAAACGCACCATTTTTGTGTCTGTCCCTTTAAATGCAAATGAGCTGCTGCAACGCACAGAGGGCGGAGCTTCAAGAGCTTGTGTCCTTTTACCTCACACAGACATGCACTGAAAACTTCAAAATCTTTTAGCCTTTTATGTTCAAACCGGAGTCAGAAAGATGGAGAAACTCAGGAAGAAGTGACAACATGTAAACAACATTTCTGAATGGTTAGTTGATGAATTTATGAAGCTTATGTGTAGTTATCTTCTAGTCATTGATTAGCATATTCTGTCATGATAATCTATTAATCGCATTCCCGGGGGCGGGGTTTATGTAAATTTTAGGGTTTGTGACGTCATTAACCCAGGAGGAAGCTTGTGTAGTTCCTACCAGCCGTTTGTTGCAGTCCTTAAAAAGCAATTTCTTTAAAAGAAAATATCTCCCTTTGCTTTGAACTTTGAGCGTTGTAACTTTGCAGATGTTGTTTATGCTCAAACAGCAACATTACACATTAACCAAAGTTAGGAAAGTGAAATCATAATCAACTACCCCTTTAAAATATCCTCTTGAACGAAAGTCTTAAGGGTTTCTCCATGTTATCGAATGGGATGTGAAAAAATCCAATTACAATTCCAAAGATCGTTTCTGTCATTTTAAGCATTTCTTATCACACAGAAGTATGTTCAAATTTTTTTTATTTCTTCCAATGAACAATTTATTGTGTGGACAATTAAAAAAATAACATGGAGGGCACAAAATAAAGAAAAAACAGTTTCAAACAACATGGGGATGAAATAATATATTTTTGTTTTATTTTTGAGTGAACTCTGCCTACAGTTGTGTGGTGTATGTGCAGGTGTCAATCAATTTATGCAGAAGCCTGCTATCAGATCATAGCCCTCCATCAGTGGCCAGACAGAGAGCATATGGGTTAGAGAAGCCCACAGACCTAAAGAAAACTTCAGCAAATGTGGTAAGACCAGGAACAGATCAGAAAAGATTAATAGACATAGTCAAGTGTCAGGCTGAGATCTAAATCTTTCTTTAAACAGCAGTTTTAAACAGCAGGCATGCAGGAACCTATGAAGAACAACAAATGTTGCTGTGAAGACCTGGCATGCATGACATTAAATTGTGCATACGAATCATGCAAAGTAAAACACAAATACTTATATACAAAGCAAACTTTAAAGGATCATGCACATCGATTGCATTCAAATGCAAGAATGGAAATCGGCCTGTGTTAAAAAAAAAAGTATCTACAAGGAATCTTCATTCCTCCATCTTCATTATGGTCAGTCCTTCTTTACAAACTCTAACAGGAGGTATTTATACCAGTCAAAAAAGTAGAGACAGAACAAATGCTCCTATATTTCAGCTTAAAAAAGGACAACCAGGTGAAACTCTATACAACAAAGTCATCTCTTGGATCAAGTCAAGCTGTGTAAGCTAAGTTAAGCTCAATTTAAACCTCTAATTTATGCTTAGTAGGCCAGAACACTCTAAAATATACTCTGAAACAGCATTGGCTTGAGAACACACAGCAACTTTGAGAGTGTGCACAGATGACGTGTTTATCTCAGGTTTTCAGTAATGTACATTAGTGTGAATGTGTCACTCTTCATCATAAAACAAAATAATAAGACTTTTATTATATAAAATAATAATAAAAAAATCTTCTTTTACTATTTCTTTCACCATAGCTTGTAGTATTCTGGACGAAACTTTGTAGCATACTGTAGTAGCTCTGTATAGCAACAACAAAATATTACCAGTCAACATGGGAGTTTCTTGGAAGGGAAGGGTGTATATGACAGTACACCTGCAAGCAACTCATGACCCAGCTTGATGGTTCCACACAGGACTGAAATTGAGCCTACAAGTTTACAAGCAGAAATTCCTTTGGAGCTGACATTTATGCTTGATTATACATTTTATACATTTCCTCTCGGCAAACAATGCACTAGAATGCTTATCTAGACACTGCTCACTGCAGCTGCAATACAACAATTCAACACAAATTACTTTTTTGTGCCCCCGATCTGATCCGATCCAAGTCATTGAATATTGAGTATCTGCTGATATTGAGTCCTGATCCGATACTTGTATTTTCCTAGTGCTTGCTGCACACTTCTAGCCTGAGGTTGTCATACTCAGATTCTAGTCAGAATGTGAGTCTGATACTGCTCCATTGGGCTGTGATTATGGGGTGTGTTTCAACCGAACCAGGAAAGAAAATGCCTCTGCACTCAATTGGATAGACCTACAACCAATCAGAGCAACGGAGTAAGTGACGTATGTTCTTCATTCATCTTTCCGACCGACAAATTATGCCTTGATCGCGGGTCTCTGTTCCTCTTTTAAAATTAATGCGCTGTAGGTATCTTCCATAACCGACGCGATGGCGGAATCTTCACATGATGTTTCATAAACAAAGTTTGGGAGGAGCACGTTCAAATAATTAATCCAATCAACTTGTCATCAAACAATACCATAACGTTACCTTATCAGCATGAGAGGAAGCACATTCAATCTGTCAACTCACCTAACATTCCTTGACATTTTTCACCATCCCTCCACCACCCCGAATCCTCACGCTTTGCTTGTTCTTTCACAGCCAGGAATATGGGGGGAGTAGCCTACTCTGGGTTCGGGGCGAATACCGAGCCCGGAGCCCTCTCCTCGGACAGCACGTCATGTAGCCTAGGCTACGCGTTTATTGTATCTGACTTATTTGTAAGTGTGAACTCGTGGAATCTCAATTCCCCAGCGGCAGTCATCTTTGTTGTAAACGAATTCAACCCAAGCGCTCTTTGGTGACGTGGATGATTACGTAACTGTTGATCATCTGTCCATCATCGTATAAAGCCCGCCCTGGCAATTTGATTGGCCCGACCATTTCTGGATCGAGCATAATTACTCCTCAATGGATCGAGTCCAGACCGAACTTCCCGACCAAAAAATGTTGTGGGCAGGGTTCGGTCTGGCATCCAGGCTAGCACACTTCAAGTAGGCTACATTAAAGTTATTAAAATAAATCCAATGTATACAGGGCCGTGCGTGCAGAGTTTCTCATGGGCAGCGGCATCTATTAACTGAATTGAGTAATTCCAATAACATTTACTACAGATAATATAATTTATTAATCAGATTATTAATCACAATTATCCTCATTTGAAATGAAATACAATATATAACAATATATATATATATATATATATATGACAAACCACAGATTCAGATCACGCCACAAATGTATATTCGTACAGACAGACCGACTTTTCTCCCCATTTTTTAAATGTCTAAATACTGCAAACAGGCTATGTAGATTTCAAGTGCTTTACATTATGAAAAATCAAGCTAAGAAAGTGAAA